CGAGGCGGGTGCCCCGGCGGGACCTGTTGGGGCCCGTGCCGCGCACCCGGTGGCGACGGGGCTGAGGCCATCTGGGCCCTGGAGGTCTGCTCGTGACCTCCGGATCTGGAGTGCATCTGCCCCACACCAAGCAGGCACCCCAGGAAGCCCCCGCCTCACGTCCACCACACGAGCCAGAGAGTTGTTTCCGAAACGGGGGTTCGGCACAGCCTCTGCCGGGAAGGTGGGAAGGACGCGTCCGCCCTGAGCTCTGCTCCTGGCTCTCCTGTGCCCTTCTTCCCAGGTGGCGCCAGTGTGCAGCCAGGCTGTCCCCACCTCCTGAGTGGCAGGCCCTCCCCAAGCCACAGGGGGACAAGGGGAAAAAGGCCATTCTCCCCAAAGGGGAAACTTTGCTCAGGTCTTAGGTTTCCAGAAACCGAGCCCAGCACCTGACTGACCAGCTCCTGCCAGGCGCCAGCCACACCCATCTGTCCCCAGGGCTGGGGGCGGGGCAGGGGGAGAGAGAGAGGCCGGGGTCAGGCAGGAGTGGGTCTGTGGCCTCGCTGCTGCACCGGGAGGTCCGTGAGGGCCGATGAACCTCGAGGGGCAAGTGTGTGCCCCGTGGGCCGGGGAGTGGCTTCCTGCCCATAGGGGCGTGGCTTGAGCGTGTCCCCAGCTCGAGTGCTTCTCTCCATCTGGTCATCGCACTCAGGCTGTCGTCAGGCCGTCTCTCCCGACCGAGCCAGGAGGTGAGCCTCATCATCCGCGCCTTGCAGATGAGGAAACTGAGGCTCAGAGGGGAGAGTCACCTACTCTGGGCGCCCCCCGCTCACAGGTGGCCAGGCCGGGACTCAGACCCAGGTCCGGCCAGCTCTGAGCCCGGGCCCCCTCTGGAGGGCTGAGCTGCCGCGCCCCAGTGCCCCCACGCTGTCTAGCCTCAGGGTGGAGAGAGGAGGCCCCTGGGGCCGGGCACAAGGGCCAGGGCTGAATGGCTGCTCTGTTCCTGGCCTGGCAGCTGTGCGGCCCCGTGCCTGCCTCTCCCCCCACCCCCACAGGCCTAGAGCGGGTCACCCAGGCTCGAGTGGCGGCAGCTCCGACCGCTCCAGGGGCAGATGGGTCTGGGGCTCGGGTGCGGCTGTGCCTCACACAGACCGCAGTCCCAGCATCCCGCAGGGCCTGGGCACAGCCAGGGAGGCTTCCTGGAGGCAGGGTCCTCGATTCATGCTTTTCCTCGAGGACTCGTCATTTTGTCCCATCCCTGGCCGTGCGCTGGGTGATTCCGGGGTCCCCGCGAGAACTTTGTCATAGATCCTGCCTTCAGAGAACTCCCAGCTGGGCGTGGGGAGTGGCTTGTGGAGAACCAAGCCAGACAGAGATGACCCCTGTGGCTTGCGCTCTGCCTGGAGGAGGAAGGGGCTCCGTGGAGGGGGCTCTCCAGTTGGAGACGGAGACCCACACGGCAGGCAGAGCTGTGTGGACGCAGGGCGACCCCGGGATGGTGGGTCTGTGGGCGTGACGACCGGAGTATCTGGAGCAGGGAAGGGCCTTCCTCTTGTGTGACAGCGGCTGCGGTCTTTGGGTCCCCTGAGGCGGGTGCAGCCGTGACACTGAGCTCACGCTGGGGGCCGTGACGGCCTGTTGCCACTGCAGCGAGTCTATCCCTGTCCCAGACCTGGCCTGGCGTGGGCCCTCGGTGGCTGGAGACGGTGGGTGCTGTGTAGGCCTCATCCTGTCGGTGGGGAGCTGAGGCCCTGTGGTCAGGAATCGGAACCCAGGCTTGCTGCTTTCTGGCCACGTTGGCTTTGGGGAGCTCCCCGCCCCTCCCCGGGCCTGGCTCGCCTCGCCGTAGGTGCCGCGTCGGTGCTGTTGCCCGTGCGGGGGTGCCGTGGCCCCGCTTCTGTCCCCTGCTCCGCCCCAGAGCCTCTCAGGGGGGTTGTGGGCAGCACAGACCTTCCGTCCGAGCCCGTCTCCTTCTCTGGAAAGGTGGGGCGGGGGGGCGGCGGCTCGGGTTGGGGGCCAGACCCCCAGGCTCGCGCCGTCCGGCCGCGGCAGGGTGGGCGGCCACCGTGTGCTGCCGAGACTGGGCGGGTGGCTGCAGCCCCTCGCTCGGGAAGACTGGGCCGCTGGCCCGAAGCCACTTCTGCGGAGAAGTGGGTTCCTTAGCACGCGTCCCCCCTCCGAGCCCAGGCCTGGGGGCGGCGGGGAGACTCTCCCCGGCCCAGGAGTCAGCCCCCGGCCCCTCCAGGCTCCTGTCCAGGATCCTGAGCGAGTGTGAGGACGCCGACGAGATCGAGTACCTGGAGGACGGCTCGTGGTGCCCGATCCGCGCCGAGAAGGAGCACAGCTGCAGCCCTCAGTGTCCTATCCTGGTGCTCGGTGAGTCCCAGCCCTGAGAGCGGGGCTCGCGGCCCGGGCTGCCCCCCGGGCCCAGCGATCGGCGCTGCTGCCCCCCGCCCCCCCCCCCCGCCCCTCACCGCCTCCGTCTCCCACCCTGTCGCCCTCAGGCACCTCGGACGCCAACGGGCTCCCGTCCACCCCTAACCTCAATGGTGGCGGTGCAGGAGGCGCCGCGGGCGGGGGCGCCGCGGGCGGGGGCGGCGCGGCGGGAGGCGTGGAGAATGGGAAGCCGGGAGCCGACGTGGTGGACCTCACGCTGGACAGCTCGTCCTCGTCGGAGGAGGAGGAGGAGGAGGACGAGGACGAGGACGAGGACGAGGAGGGTCCCCGGCCCAAGCGCCGCTGTCCCTTCCAGAAGGGCCTGGTGTCGGCCTGCTGATTGCTCACCGCCACCGCTGGCCGGACACTCGACTTTCCTGGTGCTCACCCACGCGGATGGGGCGCAGGCGGGCCTCGGGGTGCAGAGGGAGGAGTGATTTTTTTTTTTTTTTCTTTTTACCGTTCATTTTGTTTTTCCTCCCCTTTCCCTGGCTCCTGGCACCTGTACCTCTGGACTCTCCTATCGGAGGATTAAAAAAAAGTAAAATGACAAAAAAAGTACAAAAAAAAAAAAAAAAAAAAAGGAAAAGAAACAAAAAAAAAAAGAAATCAAACTTTTAAAAACGAGGCAAGCCACCCACACGGCTGCTTGCCCGGCTGGAGCCCGAGCCCCGGAGCCCAAGGCGGTCCCGGGACGCCCCGCCTCGCCTCTTCCAGTGACCATTCCAGCTGGTGCAGGGGGACGGGGCGCATGGGGTGGGAGGGGGGCAGCGGGGGACACTGACGGGCACGTGCCCCTCCCCCTGGCAGCGGCCGCCACTTTGACATTCGTCTGTTCCTTTGCTTTTTTTCTCTGCAAACACGTTCTCTCGCCCAGAGACCCTGGAGCGCACCGCCGAGCAGGGAGCATTTTAGCCAAGAAGCCATGGAGTGGGTTGGGGCAGGGAGGGGGGCGGGGGGAGCAGGGGCCGGGGTGGGGGGCGTGTGTGGGGGGGGGCCGGGGAGGGTTTAGCCACAGATGTGTTGTATTTTTTGAAAGTGCAATAACTTGGTATTTTGAAGACCCAGCATGTGGCCAGGACCCCCTGTGGAAGGCGGGGGCCCCAGGGTGCGGCGGCGCGTGGCGTGGGGGGGTCTCCGTTTTCTAGCCAGCTACCTCGGTAACTCCAATTCAGGTTAACTTCCCTACGGAGCAGCGCAGACGTCCGCAGAGGCCGCCACCGGGCCCCTCCTCGGCGGGGGCGGGGCGGGGCGGGCGGCCACTCCCCCAGGGGCAGCAGGGACACCCCCCCCCCCCCGCCCGCCCGCCCCACCTTCTCCACTTGGGGTGGCTCCTCCCCCCTTTTCTTGCTCTTGGGTTTTCCGACGACGACGGGTAGAGGCCCGCCCGGCACCCCCTCCCCTGGGAGCCTCACTCTCGTCTTCCAACAGGGCCGGGCCGATGGGCCTCCCTTCAGCTGCTCACCCAGCACACCCCCCTCCCCCCCCCCCCCAGCCCCGGGGACGCCCGGCCTCGGGGTGGGGGTGGGGTCCGGCCATCGGCCATCGCGGGGAGCCGGCGGCTGGGCGCCCGGCCCCACCACGCGGCGTCCTCGTCCCCTGGAGGCCACGCTTGGTTCTCCCACCGCCTCTGTCTCGCTTCTCTTCTTCCTTGCCGCCCACCCCCTGCCCCAGAATAATTTCCTTTGTATAAACAGAACTCTTGTAGTCAGGAAGCAATATCATTTCAGGTCTAAAGAAGAAAGGGACATCAATCTGGCCGAGGGCAAACTCAGTTTTACTGTATAAACTCGGCTGTGCAGTGCGGCCCCTCCGTCTGCACGGGCCGCTGAGGGCCACCGTTTTCTAATATTTGTATTCTAATTTAATTGTTTTTAAAAAACACAAATAAAAAAGGTCAAGGTGAAGCCACCGGGGCGTCTTCTCTGTGTGCTGGGGCGTTGGCTGGGGGCGAGGGCGTCGAAGGACCAAGACACCCCCCCCCCCCCCCCCCCCCCCCTGGGCCGTGCCCTCCGGCCCGGGGGGGGGTTCGGGATCCAGGAAGGGGGGGGTTGGGCCGGTGAGGGAGGTTTTCCCTTGGCCGCTGGGCCCGGCGTCTTCCTGCTAGGTCGGGTGAGGAGCTGAACCAGAGCCACCAAACCCCAGCACTGTCCCTGCTCCCCTGCGTGGCCAAGAAAGTACACAAATGGCCAGTAGGCTCGTGGAAGGATGCTGAGCCTCCTCACCGGCCACCGGGAGACGCAGCCC